AAAAAAAGTTTACCACCAGGGCACAGATGGTTATTTTCCTTTGCTGTACGTCTGTGTACATTTAGACAGCGAATGACTTTTTCTGTCCAGGAAACAAAATTTCCTTATACTAGATGGAATCTCATATATTTTGGCCACCTCTGCACACATTTTCAAAAGAGTCATTGTTAGTATATATTCATAATAGCAACCAGAGGTCCACGAAGAGCCGCCAGTATCACTCAGGAAAGGAATGAAAATCATAAAAAGAATAAAATGCATTTTTATCTCTTCTCAGTGAGAGCAGAAGTATAAGCTCAAGCGATTCTCACTGTCACATTTTAAAATATCTTCCCCCGTGACCTTCTGGGCTAGAGGATTTCTTCTCTGAGGATCATCAATGTTGAAACAGAAAGCGACAGGAGAATCCGTCCGTGGGACAGAAGGTCAACTTGCGGCACAGCCATTCCCTGTGACTGATTCAACCAGGGACACGTCCCCCTGGGTTTCTTGGGCCCCCTCTGGTCAGGAGGGGGCTTTGTTCCTTCTATTATTTTCAGAGGAGCTGCATTATATATGGTGGCTCCTTTCAGTGGCAGCCTGCACTCAACATCAGAGCCCATCCTGCCCCATCTGGGGGCCTCCTGAGCCCACTCACAAGTGGGTGGTCCGGACCTGAATGGTGATTTTAAGGTTTATGTCCCTTTTTCCAAGATCATGAAGGCATGAGATGGCATGAGACTGTATATTTCTATTTTCGTAGGAGGTGAGGAAAGGAACGTAAAATATTAGTTCGGTGTTGGCTCAATTAAGAATGGGAGGCATGAGGGACATGTAAATTTAAAACTCAAGAGACAGCTAGAGGCCATGACGGAGATCTGAATAGATAACAACATATCTGAGCGTCACGAACATGTATGTACTGAGTGACATCATAGATGTAGGTATGCACACTGAAGGGGGGTAATCAGCCAAAGAGAGAGAAGAACAAATCACAGGAGTAAGATCTTGGAAGGCAACGGAAGAGATAATTTTAAGAAATAGGTAGGTCAATAAAATAACTGGCACACTGGAAAACCATGAGTCATAAGAAGCACCCTGACATCAGTTTACTCTCATCTTTCACTGGTCCTTTAAATACACTGCATGGGGCAATGCCTCTGCCTGCCGCCTGGATATGAAGAATCAGGTACATGGTTTTCCTGGTCTTTCTTAAGTTTTAGAAAGTCCTACAGTTATTTTAAATTGCAAAAGCACGGGTTCAACAAAAAGAACAAAACTAGAGGCATCACCCTCCCTGACGTCAAAGCATATTACAAAACTATACTCATGAAAACAGCACGGCACAGGGCAAGGAGGAGTGTGTTTCTCACGACGCGATGGGGACCACAAGGAAGAGAGACAGCAGGGCACTGTCCCAGCGCCCGTACAAAGGGTGACCCAGAAGTCTAGAGGCCTGAGTAGCGAAAATGATGAGATTCCTGTGGTTTTTGCTGAATTAATTAGCGACCGACCGGAAAAAGAGATGCATTTGATTACGCTAAAGCTGTAGGTGAGAGATGCTGAGGGAGGGAGACCAATGGAGTCATCATGATCAACCGACCCCCGTGACAAGTCAGGCCTGTACATGTGGGGGACCAGAGACAGCAGCCTGCCCTGGGTTTTGCTGGTCCTGTGAAGAAGGGGATGATGAAACGAGAAGTGATGCTCCTAGACCCTCGGACTTTGCCAAAAGGCCGAGAAGTGGTAATAATGCTCTTAGACTGACCGAACGATATACCAACGGTAACAGCATGGATTAAAA